CCTTAGAGAAAAAGGTAGATGATTTCTGTGTAAGGAAATCTTTTAAATACAAATGTTAACACTTATCTCTGGTTGCCACTCCGGTCTGTATAACAGCCATGTAGAGCTTTGTATTTAAACTAAGATGCTCTTAAGACATTATCTAAATACTTAAACACTCCCACGATCAAAAAGGTGGTAATGTTATTTTCACGCCCCCTTTGAAAAGCAAAGATAAGGTGCGTTCCAGAGCAGGCTTCAGAAGCAGCCGCCGAGCCGAGTATATAAGATATTCATCACGGCTGTAAAAGATGAAAGTATGACTACGGCAGCGTCTCTGCTGCTGCTCCACAAACACACCGGGAACATGCAGCGAACACATAGGAGGTCGCTTTTAACGCTATTTACGGCTCTGTCATTTCGCTGATGCTCTTTGCCCTGAGCAGCTCTCACTGAATGCCTCTGTGTAGTTAGCAGGCCAAACGTCACTTTGTAGTTCAAGGTTGATTCACAGAGGCATTCAGTGAGAGCTGCTCAGGGCAAAGAGCATCAGCGAAATGACAGAGCNCGCTTGGGGGGGAAAACCTTTTTTACTGACGTCAGTACACAGTCCCAACTATTGCGTGGGGTGCTACGGACAAAGTAACAATAAAGCCAGTGCTCACCGCACTGAGTATGACTTTTCCATGCCCGCCGCACACACAAACTCATATGGAAGGGGCGGTCTCTCCCCCCAACAACAGTGCATTACATAACTGTGAAACTTATCATAACAGGGAGGCGTGTGGTGCAGTGGGTTGAGCATTGGTGATCAGATCAGGGGGTCACAGGTTCAAACCCCACTGCAGTCATGCACTGCATGTCGTTGTGCCCTTGGGCAAGACACGTCACCCCAAATTGCTCCTGTGGGGATTGCCCACAGTATTGAGTATGTAAGTCGCTTTCAATAAAAGCGTTTAACAAGTGACATGTAATGTAATAACTGTGCACATCTTATACTTATTTGATAACTACTATATCCCTTGGTTACTTGAACACGCTACAATATTATTAACGAATGTCCTTATTAAAATAAGGTAGGACGTAGTAATACTGTAACATATTTCAGCCACTAGGGGGGGGGAATTCCCCCCCCTGCACCCCCGCAAAATCCGCCTATGGGCAGCACCCCCCCCAAAGCAGTAAACCTAGGGGAAACACTGCTGTGTGTTCGCTGCATGTTCCCGGTGTGTTTGGGGAGCAGCGGCAGAGACGCTGCCGTAGTCATACTTTCATCTTTTACAGCCGTGATGAATATCTTATATACTCGGCTCGGCGGCTGCTTCTGAAGCC